TATAATCCCGTGCACCTTATGGTCCGAAAAATACGTACTGCACACTGCAGTTTAATGTTGCAAAGCACCTCTTTTTAACTTCAGTGGATATTATACATGGTTATCAGGATATGTCAGCCCATTTCTACTGGAAATGCCTTTTGGTTAAACTTTCAGCAAGGAATTTGCATTTGCACTGTTACATTTTTATAAAGCTTTAATGTACATAAAAACCAGCTTCTTGTTTAAGTGAAAATAAATGGAAGGTTGTCTTTTTGCGCTAGTAATGTTGTGGAGTTGTATTTTGTCTCGCATCAATTATATCGTCGGTTATATCGTTACCGCAAATTTTCAAATATATATCGTGATAAATATTTTTGGCCATATCGCCCTGCTCTATTTAAGATGAACAAAAAAAGGGATATTCAGGAGATTTAGCTTTGTCAAATTATGTAAGGTTGCTGCTGTTATTATAGTTGACCCAAAGTGGTTTCAAGTTATGGTAGTATTAACATTTGAGGTTTCAAAAGATGGAAAATCTGCACATAGGAACACCCATCCATCCATAAAGTCCATCCAAAATCCCAGAACTCCCTCTCCCCAGTCATCTCCTTAAGCTTCACTGGGTGAACACAGAGGCGTTCCCAGGCCAAGCAAGAGATATAATCTATTCAGTGTGTCCTGTTTCTGCCCCAGGGCCTCCTTCTGATGGATCATGCCCAGAACACCTCACCCAGGAGGCATCCTTGTTAGATGTCCAAACCACCTCATCTGGCTCCTTTTGATGCGGAGGAGCAGTGGCTCTACTCTGAGCCTATCCCAGATGGCCGAATTCCTCACTCTATCTCTAAGGGAGAGGCCAGCTACCCATCAGAGAAACCTCATTTTCGCTGCTTATGTCTAGGATCCCTTTCTTTCAGTCACTACCCAAAGCCCATGAGTATAAGTAGAGACATAGCTCAACTGGTAAATCAAGAGCTTTGCTTTTACACTCAGCTCGCTCCTTACCTTGACAGATCGGTACAGTTTCCGCATCACTGCAGCCGCAGCACTATTCCGTCTGTTGATCTCCCTCTCCTCTCACTCGCGAACAAGACCACTAGATACTTAACCTCTTCAACTTTGTGGAGTAACTCGCCCCTGACGCGGAGTGAGCATTCCACACTTTTCCAGCTGAGGACCATGGCCTCAGACTTGGGGGTGCATATCTCATTCTAACCACTTCACACTCTCACTGGAACAGCAATAGCTGGCAATATAAACAAACAACAAGATTAAAATGGAAAAAAAAAAGTTCACAGTGGACTTGACAAAAACCATGAAATACCTCAGACATGATTTAAAAGGGGAATATAGACCTACAGAGCTGATTCAAAATCCAAGGAGTTGTCAACAATTACACACATTTAATAAACACATTGCTTAAATTAATCTTTTTATCTACTTTTTTTTGACTGAAAGATTAAGGTAAAGTTGCACCAAAAGCTGATGGCTGAGAGTACAGCACGCTTCCAATCAGAATGTCATTTTAATTGGAAGGGCATCAAACGTCTGTCTTCTATATTAGACACATAAAAACATTGGGATGGTGATGATGTTGGGAGCCACAAAGATTTAATGTGCATTGTTTCTGTGGTTCAGTTTCGAAACACATCGAAACCTATTTTTTTTCAGTTGTTACACCATTGGATACCCTCAGTGAACATATTTAAAGTTTTCTTCCATGTTATATATCTTCAGTGTAATATGAGTGTTGTTTCTTCCTGGGGATCCAACTCATGGAGCTCTTCATAGTGCTTTAATGTATTTGTGCATGTGCTTCCAAGAAAGATGTGTTTAGTTGGTAAAGGTGAAATTTGATTTGGCTCAGTGTTTCAGTCCAACGCTTGCTTTGAGTGCCTCTTCCCATGAACTGATCCAGGCTGAAGGAGGCGGGATGAGTAGTTTGCTTCACTTTTTAGTAACATAGCACCTGCTTATGAAGCACACGGTGTGCTACAGACAAAGCGGCAGGATTATGTAAGGTTAGATCTCTTTTTCTCTGTGAATACACACTGATGAGAGGAGAGAGTGAGCGAGGCACTGCTTTCCTGTATGGGAAGTTAGAATCTAAAATATGCAAATTAAGTTAAACTTTGCTCACATTCAGTGATGAATTATGAAGCCAGCGCTATCAGATGATATAAGAAAACAGATAATGGGTAAATGAGGTGCAATAAAAGTGGAACTTGCTCCATTTTGATTGCACCGTGTCGTCCGACCCTGCAGTTTAAAAACCAAAGTCGCGTGGGAATGAAAGGACCCGTGGCTGACAGCTGGTTATTCAAGATTTACTAGTTCGGGGAGCTGGATGCCTGTGAAATAAGCTGCTGTTGTTGTTTCCTTATTCATGGTTGATTTGAGGGTTGTTCCACTGGCAACAGCCCCAAAGGGATTTGTCTCCTCCTGGGATCAAACCAGGACTCTTTCACTTGTTAGACAAAGGTTTAAAACGATACACCATGGAGCCATTTGTTAAACAGTACTGACCAGAATGTGACTGACTGCTGAAGGCGAGCAAGCTAGATGTAATATTGCAACAGGGAAATATAAATCTTTAAGCCAGCGCATACAAGATGTAGTTATCACAGCCTGGCTGTTGGTTGGTTGTTTGTCCCTGATTTGGAAATGTTCTTGGATGCACTGACGAGCAGAGAGATAGGAATTATAAATGCAGCTAATCAAATATATGACATTCTTATTATCATTCTTATTATACAGAGTATTTCAAAAAGAATCATCCGATTTCAAAAGGCTAGAAGTTACATAGTTCTAGATGCGAGATTTTAAAATACATGGCTAAATATGAAGTTTTATAGCAACAGTTACAAAGTGCTCAGTAGGGCTGCACGATTAATCGTTAGAAAATCGCGATCTCGATTCATACTTATGTGCGATCTCATTTCCAAATGACAACGATTAAAAAAAAAAAAAAAGGCAACGACGATTGTACCGCATTTTGATCCGGGACGTAATCTGCATGAAAACAAGCGCTCACTCTTCCTGCTCAACAAATGACAAGGGCGGAGCCTTATACCACGTGATACAGAAGCTGTGCCGTGTGATGCTAAAATTAGCAGGGAAAAAACAACGGAGAGCACGTCAGGGATGATGAGAAAGTGACAAGAGAACATCCGTCCCGGTCAACCACCCAAACATCAATAACGGGAACCTTATACAGCGCTTCCCTATACCCGTCGAACTCCCACAGGCACAAAGAAATTACGGAGGCTATCACTTATCACCTGACCAAAGATATGGCTCCCATCAACACTGTGCAAAATGAGGGATTTAGGAAAATGATCAACACCCTAGACAAACGCTACACAGTGCCATCCTGCAACTATTTTTCTATTGTTGCACTACCTGCTCTATACACGCAGCGTCAAGCAACGGTGGAGACGGAATTTCAAGCAGTTTTCAAGCAGTACAACATTTTGCGGCAACCACAAAACGTGAGACATTTGTTTTTATGTTTATTTATTGTTTTTATGTTCAGTTTCAACTGTTACGAAGTTGATGTGCAGTTAATAAGTGCAATAAATATTTATATACTGGAAAAGAAAATCGTGAGAGAATCGTGATCTCAATTCTAAGCCAAAAAACCGTGATTCTCATTTTATGCAACATCGTGCAGCCCTAGTGCTCAGTGTCCATATGTCAATTTGATAGTCATACTTGTCCTATACTTCTGCAAGCATGTCTGGACTCACTGCAGTCGTTGCTCTTGTCATGCTACCTTCCAGCAAGCACAGAAAAGTCATAAATTCCCTCTTTCTACAGTACACGTTTGAATTGAGTTAAAGCACTTTGAAATCTACTAAAAGTTGCTTGTTTCCTGGTGATTGTGTTGAATTTATTTTCACATTCTGCAATGGTGACTAAACGGTCGCCCACGCCCACAGGTTGGTTGGCAGTGTTTCAGACTTTGATCACAAGGTGATTGCACAGGTCACTTGATTGCATGTAATTGCCAACTTGACCCCATTCATTTGCATACTGATATCAGGCTAGTAGTAGACTGACTCCCTCTGATGGAAACATTTCTAGCAGGTTTTCTTGACAGTGTTGGTCTTCTTGACCATCTCATTTCATTATGATAATATTGTATTGTTGGGTGTCAGGTGACTCCCAACGATATGACCAAAAATATTTATCACGATATACATTTGAAAATTTGCGATAACAATATAACTGACGATATAATTGACACTAGACAAAATACTTTACAACTCCACAACTTTATTAGTGCAAAAAACAAACAAACATCAATGCATTTTCACTTAAACAAGCAGCTGTTTTTTATGTGCATTAAAGTTATATAAAAAATTAACAGTGCAAATGCAAATCCTTGCTGACAGTTTAACCAAAAGGCATTTCCAGTGGAAATTGGCCGACATATCCTCAGCATAACCATGTATAATATCCACAAAACTTAAAAAGAGGTTATACACACACAATACGGTAATATTATGATGAAGCACAGTACGTATCACTTCGTGAGGCTCCTGCCTACGATAACCGTAAAGCTCCGACAATCCATCAAGCAGTGCGGGTTCGTAGCTAAGCAAAGTCGTACTGAAACATTTGACAGATACGCCGCCATGTGCGTATGTAAACAAAGGCACTGCGCATGCGCGTTTTACCCACATTCTATCGCGATATTTCATTTTCTTATCGTTGCCCAACATTACACCGGTATTACTGTGAACGGTATGATATAGCCCAGCCCTACTCCCACCTCTAGTTAATGTGTAATATCTATGGGAAAGAGCAGTGTGGGAAACATTTCACTCACAGTGCTATTTGAACCCAAAGCACTTCATATATAAAGAAAGGCATTCATTTATGGAAGATAACAGAGATGTGTGTATGATGACATACTGAACTGGGATCACTTAACTCATATCTGCTCAGCAAAACTGTTTACTATTATAATAACTTCCCTTCTGTGAGACAGTGTGTGCTTGTTTCTTTTACAGATTGTCCGAGAGAAGCACCTCTTGGATTTCAATGAGTGTTAGAGACACTCAACACCTCAATCCCTCCTTTCTCGTGTGATAGGCCCGCACCTCTTTGTTCAGTTTTTCTACCTCTTATTTGTTCTAGTCTTTGACTACTTTGTCATTCCCATCATTTCCTTGTCAATCTCATCTGAGCTGAGGCCAAAGGCTGTAAATTCCTCAAAATGGTTGCTGATGTAGACACGGCGTCTCAGGGTAGTGGCATGCGGCTGAAGCAGGAGATTTCCCTCCTTCATGGTGTCTGTCTCATTGTGGGAAACATGATCGGCTCGGGCATCTTTGTCTCGCCTAAGGTAGGTCTCTCCCTTTTTTGGGGGGTGGGTGGTTGAGTTTTTATTGTGGTTTAAACGTTGCAGAGCAGTAAAATCTAAATGCTTTCTTTGTAAAATGCACCTTAATTACTAAAGAAATCTGAAATTGAAGGACTTCAGTTTTTGTTGATGACGTGTATTACAGCTGTCCAGTTTAGGGTTGAGCAGTCTTCTATATTTACATTAGATCTTAGATCACTAGGCACATTTGTTCAAATGACAGCTGGTTCACTGCCTTCTGTGTGTGTGTGTGTGTGTGTGTGTGTGTGTGTGTGTGTGTGTGTGTGTGTGTGTATTTAATATCTCCTCTCCTGTGTTACCCTGCAGGGAGTCCTTATGTACACTGGCTCATTTGGGATGTCCCTGGTCGTGTGGGCCATCGGAGGGGTATTCTCTGTGTTTGGAGCGTTATGCTATGCTGAGCTTGGTACCACCATCCGTAAATCTGGTGCCTCCTATGCCTATATCCTTGAAGCCTTTGGTGGTTTCTTGGCTTTTATTCGGTATGTTGTTTCAGCAGTGCACTGCTGAGCCCTTCTACTAACACAATAAACTACTCAGGCATGTGCTGTACTGGGATTAAATGGTAGACGGAAACAAAGGTTGACATTACTCAGTGTAAATAAACTAAACCTGCCTACTGTAAGCGTTACGTGAAGCGATAATTAAGATGAAAAAAATGTCTCTGTAGACTGTGGACATCCTTGATGATTGTAGAGCCGGCTTGTCAAGCTGTGATAGCCCTGACCTTCTCCAATTACCTGGTCCAGCCTTTCTACCCCACCTGTTTAGCCCCCTACGATGCCGTCCGTCTTATTGCTGCTGTCATCATATGTAAGCCTCTTTCGCTATTAATCACTCACATCATTTATTTTACCTGCTATTTATGTTTGCATGGATGTTGTAAAGGTGTAAGTGTGTTATGTAGTTTTAAGCTTGTATCCATGCAGTGTTGGTTTAAATCTTTTTGGACATAATTAGGGAGAGATTTCTTCAACCCCAGCAAAAATAGTGTGCTGATAAAGCAGGTGAAAAATTGCACATCACCACATCCCATCTGTTTCTGTACCTCTGTGCTAATTTCTGTAGACAGCTCAGTTAAAGAGCTGGCAATAGAGCATTGTAACACACAAAAATTAGTTTTGTTTGTTTGTTTGGTTTTTTTTTATAAACCAAAGCAATGGAAAGTTCATATACAGTTGTTTACTGTCTTGTACTGTTTTACATCACGCCCCTGTAAATTGCAGTGCATACAGTGAGAGTCTTAATTAGGAGGAAGTCTTAAATGCATCTTTGTCTCCTGTGCAAGCAGGAGGATCAGTTGCAGACAGTTGAATCTTTCACGCAAAACAGCTAAAATGGATTTCCACGTGTAAATTCAGGAGAAAGGTGTTTAAAATGGTCTATTGGCTGCAGCACTACTGGAACACGCATGCTGCATTTGGAATAACTTGCATGGCGCCCATATGAAATGTGTCATTTGAAATGGGCTTCTTATGCATGTGGTTTGACTTGAACATCGAGTGATAGAGCAGATGATGGGACAGGTGATGGAATTAATAGAAGCACGCTGTGAGATTCATTTTTTACAGGGGTGTTCCTCACAGGGTCTGAATGAACCCGGTGGTATTTGGGTGGTGCCGTGTCAGTTCTATATGAGGAGGAGTGACTTGTACCCTTTAGCTACATTCTCTAGCTGCAAGCTTTTCTAGAGCTGTAGTTTTCTACTACTTTTGTAGTTTTATACTGCTTCTTTCTTTCCATCAGGTGTGCTCACATTTGTGAACTGCATGAAAGTGAAGTGGGGTGCCATTCTTCAGGTCATCTCTACTTTTGCAAAGGTCATTGCTCTAATTGTCATCATCATTGCCGGACTGGTTAGGCTGGGACAAGGTAGGATCCCTGAATAGTCTCTATTTAGAAAACAACTATTAAGGCTACCAATTGGTCCTTAGACAACATATGTTCTAAAGCTCAAAATATGGTGCTTATATAATATTGATGATAACAATAATAGTAATTACAAATACAGCTGGATGAAATCTGTTAAAATACATTTATCAAAGTCATTTAAAAGTTAAACTGTGGGCATGGTTAGGGTGTTGTGTGGCTAAATGAACTGTTCCTCTCTCCCTTAAGTGAGAAAAGTAAAAAAAAAAAAAACACCATACAATTTGAATAATATATTTCTTTATTATGAAAATAAAAAAATGGGATATATTTATAATGTATACCTTGTGTTGTTGTAGGTTTTAACCAGAACTTTGAGGATTCTTTCAAAGACTCCAACCTGAATCCTGGTGATATGGCCCTGGCCCTTTATTCAGCACTCTACTCTTACTCTGGCTGGGATACGCTCAACTTCATTACAGAGGAGATCAAGGACCCAGAGAGGTACGCAATCTTGTATTTATAATGCTCGTTTTACAGTAATCATTAAAATCCTTTATTCCTGGTTGTGCTTTCGATTTGTATACATAAAGTGGTGTGAAAAAAGTGTTTGTGAAGTAAGTAAAGTTACATTTTATTTATATAGCACCTTTTAAGACCAAGATCACAAAGTGCTTCACACAGAAATACAAGGCATTTGAATTTCTGTGCACTCTTTTTTTTGTATGTTTTTCACACATTTTAGATCATCAAATAAATTTAAATATTAGACAAAGATAACACAAGTAAACACAAAATGCAGGTTCGAAATGAAGGTGTTTATTATTAAGTGGGGAAAAAATCCAAACCTACATGGGCCTGTGTGAAGAAGTGATTGTCCCCTGAACCTAATAACAGCTTGGACCACCTTTAGCAGCAACAACTGCAAGCTAGGGCTGCGATGATTCGAGTAATTCGATTATAAAAAAATTCTCGACACAAATTCTTTGCTTCAATGCTGTCGTCGTGGAAGTGGGAGCACTTCATCCACATTTGTGACTAAAATCACACCTGCAATGCAAACAAATTTAGGAGCAGCATGTGAATAAAAAAGCTGACAACATTGAGTCCACACAGCCCGCAAACATTGGTAACACAACAGCAGCAGTCATGTTGATGCTGGCACAGTTTAACGAGGAGCTGGAGTCTGTTTGCACACCGTGAAGAGCAAACGAAGCCATTAGCAAGACGTGAGCTCTGGTTAAGTGAAAGAAGATGTGTTTCTAGCAACCAAAACAGCAGCGCTGTTCCTGCAATCGCCAATAAAACCATTACTGGGAAAAAGTAATGACAAACTCTGACATGGAAAAAAAAATCACATTTTATAGCTGCTCCATCCATCGCTGTTTGCTTTACACAGTGGAGAATCTGCAGTAAGCCTCAAGAAGTTGTATTAAGATATACAGGTGAATTGTTAATTGTTAATCTGATACCATGTTTAAATTATACAGCAAGCTGTATAATTTAACTAAGAGCAGCCATCCTATTGATGCTTGAAGCAGGGGTGAATCTAAAGGGGGGCATGGGGTGTACTAGACCTATCATGTTTCGGCTGTGTGCAGGCAGGAATTGGACCCAAACGCAAACTCACTAGTGTTGAGGTTTAAATTTATCATCTTAAATGTTTATATGCTGATTATATTGCTTTATATAAGAAACTAAACAGAATACAAGAAAGCCAAACTAAGACGCTAGACTATAGAATAAACTGGGGCAACAAAGAACTAAGAGCATAATACAAAAACTCAGAGACACAAGAAACTCAAAACACTGGGACACCGACCCAGGACCGTGACAAGACCAGATTAATTTCGAGGCTTTCATAACATTTTTCAGATTGAAAAGTTGCAATCAACAGTTCATTTTGAAAAAAACCTGTGTATATTTGTTATTGCTCAATAATAAGAGAAAAAATATTTCTTATCTAATTTCTTGATTGATTGATGGAATAACTGAGCGATTACTTGATTACTAAAATAATCGATAGCTGCAGTCCTAAATTAAGCGTTTGCGATAACTGGCAGTGAGTCTTTCACAGCGCTGTGGAGGAATTTTGGCCCACTCATCATTCTTTTGTGAAATCCCGGATGAGTCGTCAGCAGGAATATCTAAATGTCACAAAATTTGTTTTGGCTGTATCACGATACACATCGCGATATGTTTAAATAGCCTCCAAAAACAAAAAACACAGAAAGTCTCATTCCTTCACTCATCTGAAACTCCCACTGTCCTCATATCTTTCCCTATCTGGTAGTTTATAAACACACAAGCTAAGGGCAGTGCGCCAGGTAGAAAATCTGGGAGGGGGTTATTAATGATGCATTCACAGTGTGTGGGAGAAAAACACACTCACAGTGAATTGCATGCAGACAGCTTAATATTTCCATTGCAGTTCTTACTCGATGGTTGTGATAAAACCATTTTATCCGTCGTACGTGGAAACATCGAGCATATTTGCCCACCCCTACCGATTACTCCCAGTGGTGAAAGTTCTCCACTGTTCCAGGTTTTCTACATTTGTGTATAATGACTCTCAATGTGGTTCATTGGAGTCCCAAAGCGTTAGAAATGGCTTTGTAACCTTTCCAGACTGACGGATGTCAATGTTTGTTTGTCAAGCGTTTCTTTAGACCTAGCGTGCTGTGGCATAATTAGCCCTTGCCAGACAGGTTCTATTTAAGTGATTTCCTGATTCAACAGGTCTGCCAATAATCAGGCCTGAGTGTGTTTAGTGAAACTGAACTCAGCTTTCCAAAAAATGCAGTTAATCACAGTTAATTCATAATTTAACAAGATGGGCAATTACTTTTTCACACGAGACCAGAGAGGTTTGGATTGGATTGAACATTTGTCCCTTAATCAATGAAATTGTCATTTAAAAGCTGCATTTTGTATTTCATCAGGTTATCTTTGTCTAATATTAAACATCAAACATGTAAGTGTGACAAATATGCAAAACACTAGGAAATCTGGAAGGGGGCAAACACGTTTTCACACTGCTGTATTGCTAAGTAGTTTAAATCTAACAGTCTTAATGGATGCCACCTCCTATTTTTCCATTGCAGGAATCTCCCCTTGTCCATTGCCATTTCAATGCCCATCGTCACAGTGATCTATATCTTGACCAACATAGCTTACTATGTCGTCATGGACGCAGATACAGTGCTCAACAGTGAAGCTGTTGCTGTGGTGAGTCCAAAGCTCTGTACTAGAGTCACTTTGTGTACATATCTGCATACAAGCCCTATCACATACCAGTATTTACAGCCTCTGCTCACCCTCTTAGAGGTAGGAGGATGTGATCTGTCCCTCCTGTGTTTGACTGTCGTCTCTCTGAGTCCATCTAACAGCCACTGCCTCTCGCATCTAGCTTTGGTACTCCCTCTTGGTCATGCAAGACTGTAGGAGTCGAGATGACAGGAACCTCATTTAGCTAAAGAGGTTAGCACGCCACACAGGAACAGGAGGAGAGCTCATGATGTGATTAGTGCAGGGAGAAGGAAGATTTGTACTTGTCAGTGGTATTTGCTAATCTCTTTTTTTTTATTTTAATGGTTTACTAATGTTCTGTCATTAAGCCAGAGGTTTTCTGCCCTGTTGTAATGAAACTGTGAGATGCAGCAAAGTTTTTAGTCAGGTTTTGGAGATTAATGATGTCAAATCTCATTGTGCGCTGGTTGTACTTTGCAACTCAGCGCCACACTAAAACATGATGATGTTTGAACCTAAACTTGATTATATCACTAATATAATGCACCTCAGGCATGTTTGGGTTTTGAGTGGGTTAAAATGAGTGATGCCACATCGTTGTCGAGTCAAGCTTTTGGCAACAGCTCAGGTCACAATATGAACAAAGAAAATCCACTCAGAGGTTTTAAAGTGGCATCACAGTATAACATCTTTCTCAGTTCCTGCTGTTCTTCTCTTTCTAGCTGGTAACTTTTTCTTTCTCTCCTTTCTAACAAAGTGTCCTGTGAAACTGCTGTGATCTGTGTAGTTTTTTTTGTTGACAGTATTTGTACTCATTGATTATTTGTAACAGTGTGAGCTTTACACTTTCTTCCGCCCTTGAAAAGGAAACAAAGGGGAGTAGCAGGAAACATCAGGGGTTCCCGCAAGCAGATTAGCCAGTTTGTTGGATTAGTTCTCGTGTCTTTTAATTAGTGGCACACATCTGCACTGATGAGTCACATTTTTACTAAAGTGAAAAGGAGTTACAAGCACTTTGGCTGCTTCCTCAGACATTTGCAGATGAGGTGCTGGGCTGGGCTCGTTGGCTGATTCCTCTTTCTGTGGCGATTTCCTGTTACGGAGGCCTCAACTCATCAATCATTGCAGCCTCGAGGTAAACTCCTAAATCTAGTGGCCTCCATTTCTGTTTTTCCCAAAATGTATGGGTTTTTTGTTTTGTTTTGTTTGTCCTATTGCCAACTAACCAATCAGCAGCACAGTGACTTTAGTTCTTATTGAAATGTCATTTTCTCTCGCAGGTTGTTTTTCGTTGGTTCCAGAGAAGGCCACCTACCTAATGTGCTTTGTATGATCCATATTAAACGTTTCACCCCGATTCCTGCCCTACTTTTCAATGCAAGTATCCCCAATATGTTTTTTTTATTTTAATGTAAATCTTTGTGGTTCTTCATCTTTGTCATGAATGTATTTCTCTTGAACGTAATATTTGTGTCTGTTTTTGGTCGTCTTCTCACAGGGTGGCATGTCTCTGTTGTACTTGACTGTGCCAGATGTTTTCCGGTTAATCAACTACTTCAGTTTCAACTACTGGTTATTCATCGGCCTGTCGATAGCCAGCCAGATCTACCTTCGCATCAAAGATCCTGATCGACACCGACCCGTTAAGGTACCAAAAATGATGCAATGTTCTTAATAACCAAAGTGAGCTTGAAATACAAACAGGTGTAAAATTTAGCTCAGATGTGTTAGTGCAGTCAGCTCAGAGATAAAAATGAAAATAGAAATAAAGCATTAGGCAGGATGATGAGTGTAGATTGTGTGTATGAACGTCTTGTTTCTGAATGTGAGCCAATGTTTTTTATCTCATAATCTTTGACTGCACCTTGGTGCAGCCACCCAACCACATCATCCAGCTCACAGCCCCCATCAGATTGTGAACAGACAAATAAACCAATGAGCACAAGATGTAAATGGATACATTAAAGATAGTGTGTAAAGTGTTGTTCATGGTCTGTGAAGTTTTTTTCGTTTACCCATCAACAGTGAGTGTATTGTACTGTTTACCCTCTTTTGTTTTGAGTTGCGACAATGTTTAAAGTCATGTCAGTCTGATCCTTTTGTTTTGTCCATTTCTCCTCCTCCCTCTCGGTAGCTGTCTTTGTTCTTCCCAATAGTCTACTGCCTGTGCAGCTTATTCCTGGTGGTGGTGCCGCTCTACAGCGACACTGTCAACTCTCTAGTGGGGATTGGTGTGGCACTTTCTGGGGTACCGATCTACTACATTTGTGTCCATCTGCCTTGCAGCTCCAGACCAGCCTTCCTTGGAAAAATGCTCAGTAAGAGAAACACTGCACTGCCTATCATAGAAGAGGTTTTGTTTGCTTTGAGGGAACTCTGAAACTCACATTTGATAGCCTTCTTATTAAAGCACTTGTCTATTACTGCTTTATCCTTTAACATTTGTGGTCTAGCTCTGAGAAAGATCAGCAAGAGCTCAGTGTCATATTTTCATAGGCTAGAACAAGCTAGCCAAGCTGTCAGTCTAGCTTTTTATTCCCTTTGAGGGGAAATGCATCCTTTATCTTCCTTGCAAATTCCCAATTGGTTTATAAAGGAAGAATTTCCCCAAGAAACTTAAATCTAGGTACAAAGGTAGAGGATTGAAGCTAGCACGTGGTAATATGACAACAGCTATAGTATAAAGCTCTGTGAATGAATGTGGCTGTGTTAGGTTATTACTCACAACTCTTTAAAGTAGCATACCAGTCTCATATTTCCTATAGCTACCATAGAAATGTATGGAATTGCTATGGCTCTCTGTAAAGGGATTGGAATTAGTGTTTCATAGTTCAGTTTAGCATAAAACCCACCTACACTAAAGGCTTCTATAGTACAACATTTATAAAACTCTTACTGTTTAGAAATGCTACTTTTTTATACTATTAACACTGGACTAGTTTAAACAAGTAACACTTAAGGCAAATTTTTCTAATTAGCAACCCTTGAGCAGCCATCTGATTTTTCTTTTTCTCTCTTCACACAGATGCGATATCTCTATACACCCAGAAACTGTGCATGTGTTGCGTGGCATCGCCAGATATTGATCTGGACAACATAGACCCGGGGAAGATCGAATGATCGATGGACAGACAAACTCAGAGTAAAGTACTGTACGGGGAGATAAAGGAGGACGAACGAACACAATATGAAGCAATCTGGGAGCGGCAGACAATCGGGGCTGAGATGAGATGATCGCTGGACCTATTAAAGACGGATGGAGACGGTGCAGAGATGAGCACACCACGCTACTCGATCTCCTCCTCCTCCTCTTCTTCTCTCACACATGTGCCATAAAGAAGGAAGGAGCAGGATTTTACTCAGACTGTTTATTATAGGCAAGAGCACAAATGCAGTGTATTATTACAATTATACTAAGTGTATATCTTAGCAGAAAATTTAGTCCAAAAATCTTGATTTTTGAACTTGAGACCTCAAAGAAGAGCAAACGGTTTTTGCACATACATTTTTCATTTTGAAGGAGACGATATATAAAATGGTTTAAAAAAAAAAGAGTAATTAAGGAGCGGTCCTGCTGTATATTTATGATCACAAATCTGTCATGCTGCTTTCCATCCACCACAGCTGCATGTGGGAACTTTGACATCATGTTCAGGGCTCTTTTTAAGTTCAGGCGCCTCCTAGTGGTAGCTTAAAAAACTTCAGTTGATAAGTCATAAGACTTTCCAAAGTGTCATATAAGAGTCTGTCTCTGCTTCTGTGTGTTGTGTCTCATGTTTGTACTGTTACCTGTCACCTTGTTGCTTCATATACGTGCACACGATCCATTTAAAAGTAAAAAATCTCATGGTTTTTTTAGGTACACACCTCAGTTACACTTAAAAAAAAACCAAACATAAGGATTTCTATTGCAGATGAAATATTTAATATATTTTTTCAGTTTTTAATGTATCGCCAAGATGGGCGGTTGTCACAGAGCAGATCAATTGTTGGACCATCATGCAGTAAAGTGAAAATTCACAGCTGTAGTGTGTTTATATGGTGTTTTGTGGTGTACTTTTTGTGTTCCTAGACTGTACGTGCCTACAGTGAGGTGGGTCTAATGATGTGATATCGCCACATTTGTTCTTGAGCACAGTCGCCGACATGTCGCTGTAAAGTTTGCCAAATGTGTTTCAAGTCGTCATCTTTCATTAGTTTCTTCAAATTGAAGCTGCCTATCACAAAAACACAGGCAGTAGTTGTTGGTTAGCTAGAAATAATCAGTCTTTAGATTTATCCATCCATCCATTCACTTCCGCTTATCCTTTTCAGGGTCGCGGGGGGCGCTGGAGCCTATCCCAGCTGTCATAGGGCGAGAGGCAGGGTACACCCTGGACAGGTCACCAGTCTGTCGCAAGGCCAACACACAGGGACAAACAACCATTGGCACTCACATTCATTTGCACATTCACACCTAGTGACAATTTGGGTTATCCAATTAACCTATCCCCACAAGCTGCATGTCTTTGGACGGTGGGAGGAAGCCGGAGTACCCGGAGGGAACCCACGCAGACACGGGGAGAACATGCAAACTCCACACAGAAAGACCCTGGCCTGATGTTGGAATTGAACTCAGGACCTTCTTGCTGTGCGGCAACAGTGCTAACCACCGTGCCACCGTGCTGCCCAAATTTACAAGCTGCCCCAAAACACCAATGAATGTTTTGTTTTTATTCTTCATGTTCCTCCGGGTTTTTTTTGTTTTGTTTTGTTTTGTTTTCCTCCTCTCTTGTTTTTCAGTCTTTAGATTTAAAAAAATAAAAATAAAAAATCTGCTTAGCCTCTGGACATGATTAGGAGCTAACGGGAGCACACAGTTTGTTGCTTCACGTGCTAATTTGCTTTTCGGGGATCAGTAGTCATCGGTTAAAACAAACTAGTGGGCCGTTTAAACACAAAAACAGCTGTATATGTATATTTCAGTATACTGTAATACAATGAACCTATTATTCTCAGAAAATGCAAAATAAGAATGTTATAACATATTTGTTGTTTCATTGGGTACCAAATGTGTGTTTTCTGGGTGTTTGAAAGCTTTTGTGCTGAATGTGTCTTAAGAACCTGCTTTTTTTTCCCACTGTTCTGATTTATTTTGCCAGACGAGCTTCTCCAGTGGGCTGGAAATGTGTTTGCTCACTCCGAGGCAGGAAGTGAGCTGTGTGTTTTATCTGAATAAAGTTAGGTACAGACTTCAGTGACTGGCTGTTCTTATCGTTTGCTTTGTTTGACCTGAACACACTAAAGTCTCCTAGCACTCACTGCCACTTGAGGTCATCCTCTCATAACCCCCTACATCTGTAGCTTTACCCTTTAGGTAAATGAGCAGCTTTTGATAAAATCAAGGTTTTAAAAGTTTCCCAACTGATCAGTATGAAAATCCACATTTTTTTAATGGTATTTTAACTGGTCCTGGTGTAGAGGTCTACATGGCAGGGGACCATTAGCACCCTTGAACGTGGTGCTAATGGTCGTTGACCCACTGTTGGTCACGTGAGTCAACACGTAAACCAGTCTGAAAAAAGGCGTGGGTATTTACCATCATTGAGGGGTTGTCCCACCCCATCTGAAATAAGGAAACCAACTAACCACAAAATTAAAGTCCTGTCATTTCCTTTTGCTAGCTCAGAAGGCTCTTGAGAGTCATGTAGCTTTAAACCAGAAGTTCTTGTGTTAGATTGTGTTTTGCTGATCAGCTTTTGATAAAGTTTAGGCAGTTAATTTTCAGCAGAAAATCTGAGAAAGATTTAATTTGAAAGAAGTAGTATTACATATAGTATATGTTTTATATAGTAGATTCCAACCTAAATACTATATAATCAAATATTTAAAAATAAATATCTGTAAAATAACACCATCATTGATTATCATTATTTTAGTAGCTCAGGCTATTCTCCTTTTTTTAAATTTAACTGTGGGTTTAGTGCAGCTCATCTGTGGAAGCATCATTGATATAATATAAATGTATAACAAACATCTGATTGGCTTGCTGTTGCAAACAGCAGGCTTGAACCTTTAGGTGGGCGGGACTTAAAGGAATATAAGGATATCCTCTCCCGCTGAAATCGCAGAGAAGCATTGAGAGCAGCCTGAAGCCTGAGTATTTGGCTCACGGTGACACTTTGCCCATGTGTACATCAGCTGTAACACGGTAGACTCCCTACATATTAAACTCACCTCCATATCTGCTTTGGGAAACAGGCTTGGATCGAGAGTGCTTTTTGCTGTGAGCGGGTGGGTTTAATTGTTATGTGTCATATGCTGCAGTTTGAAGACAGACTTAGCTTGTTGAGGCTGGGCTGATTGCAGGCCAACTACGTACAGGGTGGAGGGTCTGAGAGGACAACTGCTGTTCCCTGTTGAAGTTGTCAGCATGTGGAGTGCAGCTGATTTGTGGCATAACTGGCCTTGACCTTGGATTTAGTTTGTTTCTGTGTTCACAAATGGGATGCTACTGTTTTATTCCTTAACTGTTTGTAGCTCAAGAAGTTTCCTTCTGATCTCAGTAATTTTATTAAATAAATTATATTTTAAAATTTTATTGGTGTCACCTTTTGCCCACAGCTAAACTGTCATTCAGACCTAGAACCTGTTTTTATTAGAAAAGCACTAACAGCAATGAGGAAAAGCAGAATTGTTGGTCTTTCGCACTTGTTTTTGAATCTTTCTACGGACTGGAAACTGTTTCTTGGCATCTTTTCTGCTCTGTCTACCTTCCAGTCTCCTCAGGTGGCTGCTCAAGCCCCACCTCCTGTCCATCCAAACCACATCGCCTCCCTAGAGGCTCAGTGCAGAGGCATCACATTTCAACGGGGTGTGCGCTCTGTGCTTCAGATGCTGCCCGTCGATAGGTGCTCCTGGCTGGGGGGAAGAGGCCTGAGTGTTCCTCCCCAGAACCACGGGAATTGGGTTCCACTGACTCATGCATAAAAGATAAAGCAGTGGAGGGGAAATGTAGCCGAGCACCATGACGGCTACAGAAACTACTCTCTCTCCCGCTGAGTGGAGATCAGGCACCAGCTGAAGTGAATTCTTGGTATTAAAAGCTCAAGGCTGCTAAGGTAGTACTCTGAACACCTGATGGTCTGGAGGGAGCATCTCACCTGGGAATGGGCAGAGGAACCAGGGTGCTGCTGTTTGATGGATGAGTGGCTGTTACACACTGGCACCAGTTTGGCATCATGGAACTGCCTCGACGTCTGAACTGGATGCGTAACCGAGCTTGGAGGCCTCATGGCTGCCGCAGGCACTTCAATCGTAAGTGCAACGTGTGTTTGGGCCAATCAGGGAATCAGTTTTAGTCTTGATTTCCATTGTTTATGTTGTCTTTGTATCCATGTCTTTTGTTCCTTTGTTTCTTCTTCTTCTTCTTCTTTTTTACAAACATCTGCTTTCTGGACCTGCTTTGTAATTGTCTAAGTGCTGCTGTGAACCCGAGAAGCTCCCAGTGATGTCATCATGAGTTGTCAAGTGTAAGTTGTTGTGACTGTCACAGAGCTGCTGCTGTTCAGAGCATCATGAGGTGGACTGCAGACACATGTGTCTTGTGCGCCTAGTCATGCTTGATGATTTTAAACATGTCTACATGCTGCAAAGTTTTGTGTTTTTAAATTAGTCATGTGACTCAGTGAGCGGTTCTCAAACCTCTTCTGGCGTGCCCCGCGCTCATTTTCTAATCTGTCATTGAGGTGGGAAAAAAAGGTTAAGAGAAGTTTTAGTCAACTAAAAGTCAGCACCACAGCATCAGCAAATTATGTATATTTTAAATTTTCACACCATGGTTGCAGCAGCTCTCTGCCGCAACAACAACAAGCAGACTGCAGGTGTCAAATAAGATTAATGTTAAGCATCATGTGCTGAAAATGCAACCAGGGTGAGAGAACATGCACTGAAGTGTATGAAGATTCATTCATATTAAAAGCATCTTCACTTGGCTGCAGGCTGAGATCGCTCCTGGTTTGTGTTGGTCTTATCTTAAAGGGCCAAACAACATCATTACACTTGTTATTCTTTGCTGATAGTTGATGCATTTGATGACAGATGGCTACGATTCACTTTCCCTCTAAAAATCTCATCAGAAGGAAAGCTTGTCTGACACAGTGAGCGACGGCTGTCTGCCAACGCTCTAGTCTGTTTGATCAGGCCTGATGGTGAATGTTTAATTGAAACAACATCTGTGTCGATTGTGTAAGATCAGATTGTAGGAATGAAAAGGATGCAATGCGACACCCTTGTGGCCAGGCTGAGCAGATTTGATTGCGTTTTATTCGGTTTGCATGTTGTTTGCAAAGCTGAACGTCTGCAGACTTTTCTGTGCCTTTGTAGAAAAAGTTGCTTGTTGTGCAATGGGTGTGTATAGTGTGACATGCATACATACCACTGAAATGGAGTGCATGCCCAGAGATGGCGATTGCACCTAAACTGGCTAATCATGCTCACTTCCAGCTACATTAATTTGATTCTTGGACTGTACTAAATAAGTAATTTATTTGAATTTCATGAGCGGGATCACTCTTTATACCCTCCTCTTCCAGTTCTCTTGACTATATATGACCCCACATACTGTCTTTTTGTGCCCTCACTGTCCTTGCCTGTTTCAATGAATTCATCTCTCATTAGTACATGGGGATCTGTTCAGCCTGGAAGCCACCACCAGCACCCTCTGAGGCCCAAACCACAGCCTCAATTGATGCTTACTGCCATTATCTACTAGAAATGAACTCAAACCTCAATGAGGATGTGGTCCTAGCTAGTCAATAAGTATTTATGCAGCCCATCAGTTCCTTCTTTGTGGTGGGGCCAACCCCTGCAGGCAGTTTGAACAGCAGGTGGGTGGGGCCTCTGTGTGCATATTATGCATATCACGTGCTGACATCACATGGCGTATTGGAGTATTAAGAGCAGTCTGAAGCCTTAGCTTGAATCAGTGGTTGTGATGGAAAAGACTTTGAGATGATCATTGAGAGTTCATGTTGTATGGCATTTGTACATTTGTGTTTCATAAAGCCACCAAAACCAATCATATTTTCACAGTTGACTTCTTATAACAGGTTTTATCAGTCTTCTTAGGATTCGTTTTATCAGGAAAATATTCTATAGCTCCATCTTAACAAGGAGTGCTCAGGCAGGCAGCGGTCTGGGTGAGGTGGGGGAAGCAAAGGGAGACCAAAGAGACAGCAAACAGCATAAGAACAAACACTTGATGGAACCAGCGACCCTAGATCAGCAACATTCAGCTC